TTTTATCTTTTGATGGGTTTCTCATTGAACCTGGAGCTCACCACTTATTTATGCCAGCCTGATGGGCCGGCAGGTCCCTTGGGTAGCCGGTCTCTGCCCTCCAAGAGCTTTTAGCAATGTGCTACCAAGCCAGGTCTGTTATGTGGGTGCTGTGGATCTGAACTACTCCGGTGCTCATGCTGAACCAACAGCATCTTATTCACTGAGCCTTCTCTGTGCATCCTAGCTATTACTTGGAAAAGTTAATGAGTAAAGATGTACGTTCCGGTCTTAAGATACACAGAAAATGAATGAAAAAGTTGTTTTCAGCAAAAATATTTAAGATTTTGATGTATTTTTATTGTTTATTCTATTTTTAAGGTTTACTGCTTGCACACAGTTGAACACATGCACACACAAACACGGAAATACATTCCTTGTTGTCATTTATGTTTAGTCAGCATATGGAGAGGATTTCCTATGCTATTAAAACATTTCACTAAATAGATGTGGGCTGCATGAACTCTGTGTCACTGACATGTTAACAATACAGAGACAATAGAGAGCTAAAAGAACAAAGAACTTTCAAATCCCTTCCCATGTATGATCTTTACAACCCCATGTAGGATGTGGGGCTGTAAATATTTCCAACTTCTAACTGAGGACCCATGGCTCAAAGACAGGAAGGAACTTAGGCTTGGTCAAGATCACAGGACCTGATGCCATTTACGAGCTATGTGGCCTTGGGGACAATAGTTTTTCTAATATTTGTTGGTCCTGAAGCTTACTTCATCTTAGGAGTTCTCCTTAATAAAATGAACAACAACACCATTGTTGAAAATGTTACTAAAACACACTAGCCTGTAAAGAAATTGCTAGGACTTTTCTCAGTGTCTTAGGAAGGTCCTGTGTTGCATGAAAGACCCTACAGTAAAGCTTCACAGACTTAGAAGGAAACCTCACTCTGTTGGCATAAAGTACTTAGTTAATTTTCATCTGTAAAATGGACACATGGGTAGTCTTTGACACAGGGAAATTATAAGAATTAAACCTTACACTATATTGGAAAGCATTTATTAACTGCCTGGCACATCATACATGTATAATAAATATTATCTGTGATTACTAAACATTGCCCAAAGTCATGTTGTTGTGGCTGGAGTCATTTAGACTGTTTCCTAGAGACTGAATTATTCATGTGTGTACTTAAGAAATTATGCCTTCAGGGCTATTCTGCCTGGCTCACTCATTCATCTAATAAGCAGGTATTGGGTTCCTAAGTAGATGCTACACACTGCAAAGCTCTGGTTGCTACGAATTCTTGCATCTCCTTCACTTATCCTCTCCTCTGTGAAGTCCTCCCAGAATGCAAGGAAGAGTCACTACTTTGCACATTTGGACCCTCAATGTGCTTGGTTTGCACAAGAACAATGGCTCAGGGAAGAGTCCTCCCCGAAACCCCTGCATCCTCCTCATTTTTGTAGCAATGCTTTTCTCATGCCTAGAGCTTGTTTTCTTCCACACGGAGATTTGAATTCCTCCTGCCATCTCTTCAGTTTTCAAAACGTGCGTAAAATAGCTTTTGAGACCTCTGAACAAATGCAGGCTGCCTTATTGTGATTCTTGTTTGCTTTCAGGAGATAACTTGAACCTTTCATATTGTATAGCAACTGAAATGTTTATTGCCAGCCCGTACCCTGCAACAATTTTCTCTGGTAGTAATAAAGACATAATATGGCCACACAAAAAAGTCCTTAGTGAATGTGTCCTGTATCAGGAAAAGTAGTCAAGGTCTGGGGTCCAACAGGAACCTGGAACAGAAACCATGGGACTAGGGTATGTACTTAAAACTAGAAGTAAGCTTTGCACGTTGTACTGGTGTCTTGACATTAATCAAAAATGAAATTTTCTGAATTATTTCTATAAAAATATTCAAGTGTCTGAAAAGACTCCAGCACTTAGTATATTGTATTGTATGCAAGCAGAGCAAGGCGATGGCTGGAGGAAAGGCACTAGCTAGCATCATGTCATCCACAATGAGTTCCCTTTGTCCTATTCTCTGGTTAAGACAACCCACTGGAAGCTGGATACTCGTTTTTTAATAGTCAACACAGAAGTCCAGCTGGGAATGGAGCCTGGATTTGTCAGATGTTATAGTCTTTATCACATCAGTCACCCTGTAATGCTCTCAGGAACATATTCAATGTGGTGTCTCCAGAACAATAATCTTCACAGCTTTCTCCAAACAGCCCCCAGTCTGGACTACCTGGACCTTTCAGGATTACTCATGAATCCCTAAGGTCAGAGTTCCCACTTTCCTTTCATGTGAAACAAAATGTGTGACTTCATCCACCCTTCAGTTACAAGCAAGTGCGGTTCCCGCTCTCATCCAGCAGGGAAGACTGAAATTAAACATGTCACCTTGGGGAAGCATTGCCTTCACCTTCCTGCTAATGAGCCAGAGTCCCTGGGGACCTCTGTGAAGAGCCAAATCCTCCAAATTTTCAGAAGAACTCATCTGAAATCTTATTATGAGCAGGTTCCAGCGGGAATTGAGTTATGGCAGGCCAGCAAAAATCTATGGGCAAAGCTCCCTCCTGCAAGCATCCCGAGAGATCCTTCATTTCACTCACAGGCACACCATCATAATCTTTTTTTTTTTTTTTTTTTTTTTTTTTTGGAACATCATTAGGCTCCAAACAGAAGCTAATGTGTTGTGTTGCCAAGGTAAAAATGGGTTTTCCCTAACTGTCCCTTTTGGATGACTTTTACAAATCAGGGTGGCACACTGTAGCCCAGACTGGCCCAGAACTCACTATATAGCCCAGGCTGGCTAAGAACTGGTTGAAATCTCCTGCTTCATCTCTCAAGTGTTGGGGTGACAGGCAGGAGCCTCTGGCTAGGCCAGGCTCTCTTTTGCTGCCTGCCCTCATGCATGCCTCTTCTGACACTCTTTCAAAGCAGGATGATTTTATTCCAGTACTCAGTCTAGGCAAGGGTCTTCAAATGCACCCCTTCCTCATTCCCAAATCAATTTGATTTTGAGACTTTGAGTTCATAAGCTAGAATTACATACTGGAGCTCCAGGTCCGCGGACTCTACACCACCATCTTCTTACACCCCCTCCCACCCCACGCGCCCCTCATAGAACTGCTTCTTTGAAGAAAAATACAGCCAGCCAGCTTGGGGGAAGCTGACGTAAACATCCTGAGGAAATAGCCACAGTAAAGCGGCTCCTTGGCCTCATTTCCCTAAGGAAATAATCAGCACCTCATCCCCGAGACAGCTCCAGGTGAGCTAGTAAGCTCAGGTAACCTTCAAGTGCCTGCAAGCAAGTACTTACAGGCTACTCCCAAGTGCGCTACCATCTATTGTCACGTTTAATGTTCAAAAACATCCAGACATTAGACAGGGCAGGTATTACGGATAAAAGCCAGAACCGGGACGCCCAACCCTCCTTTCTGGGTGCCTCAGATCCGCCCTGATCCCCCGGGGTCGCCCCCAACGGAGGCAGGGGAGGCTCTCCAGTTAAGTCTGTGGCGTAGATAAGTGGTCTTAGGGTTCTCGCAGGCGTCCCTCCGGGAAACCCTTGGCAGGATAAGGGGAACCCGAGACTACTGGCCAAACAGCCCGAGACAGGGCGCAGAAGCGCGCATAAACAGGCGGGCTCCCGGAACAAAGAAGGGAGAAGCGGAGGCGCGCTGAACCCGAAGGGGCGTCCTCCCCCCTCCCTTCTCGCCCCCCGGGAGGAAGGAGATGCTCCGAGGCCCGAACCCCGCCCCGCCCCGCCCCTCAAAACCTCCTTTCTTTTTGCTTGCTCTTGAAGGCTGTCGGTGGAGGAGCCGGGAGGGGGCGCAGTTCGCCGCGGCCTCCCGCTAGTTCCATCCTACCCTTTCTCCGTCGCCAGCCCCAGCCCGAGAAGCGCACAAAGAGCGCCGGGCCCGAGCACACACCTCCCGGCGGGACCGGCAAGGCGGAGGGCGGGGCCGGCGCGCTCTAGACTCCTTACAGGCACTGCGCATGCCTGGCCGAGGGGCGGGGCGGGACCGGGAGCGGCGGGCGCGCACGCCCGCACCATCCTCTGGCTCTGTAAGGTTGGCGTCCAGGCAGTGGCCGCGCTACGCTCGTGCGCGTGTGGGAGCCCGCCGGGCCTCACAGTCCGCGCGCTAGGCGTGTGCGGGACCCGGGTGCAGAGCATTCCAGAGGTCACTGGTGGGGGTGCGGGTCACGCCCATGCTGCAGTCGGCTTCTGGTTTTGGCTTCCGCTCCTTCATAGCCACCTGGGCAAAGTGCTCCTCAAGGGGACAGAACTGTGGGCGCGCGCGCGTGGCAATGTGGGCGGGCGTGTCTTTTGTGTCGCGTGCGCTCCCGCGCAGGTGGGCAGCTCGCGCCCAGCAGTAACTATAACTACGGGGCCCAGGACCTCGAGCTTCTGATATCCGCGTCCCAATGTTGGGTTGCCCTCTTGTACACAAACCATACCGTCCACCTAGTGGTAGCGTCGGCTCCAGGGATTCTTTATTTGGGGGCAGTAACGGGACTTTCGAAGGACCGCTCTTTGGAGCCTAGCCGCTGGCATCACAGTTGGGCGCCTTTTCTTCTCAACCAGGAGAGGAAAAAGACTTCGGGACAGTGGTTACTCTCGGCTGATAAGTACATAAAAATGTCCCAAGCCAGCCAGTCCCGCATTAGACAACAAAGAGAGGCGTTCGCGGCGGCGGCGGGGGAGGGGCGCGGTCGGGAGGAGGCCGGGGCGGGCTGCAGAGAGCTCGAAGGGGGTGGCGCTGGCTCTCCGCTCGCTCAGCCCCGGCCTCCTCCCGCCCCCGGCCTGGCGCGCGCCAATCGCCTCCCCCAGCGATAGTGTCAGTAGCATTGTAGTGTCAGCTCCCGCCGGTGACGTTGCGCCTCCCTCGTCCCCCTCCGGAGCCGTCTGGCTGCAGAGGCTCAGTCAAGAGGCGGGTAGGAGAGGAGGAAAAAGCGCTGAGTGAGGGCGGGCGGGCGGGAGGGAGGGAGGGAGTGGAGGAACCGGGGAGGGGCTCCTTAAAGAAACGCTGCTGTCGCTCGCCTGCTCGCTTTGCGCTCGGCATTGTGGCCAGCCAGCCGGGCACTCGGGGGGCACGCGCTGCCGCCGCTCGAGCTCTGCCCCCACCCCAACCGCCAGCAGATCTGGGGTGGGGACCCAGGCGGGGGCTCTTGCAGCCACTGCCCGGTGCGGACTGCACGCAGAGACCCACTGCTCCCGGAGCCGAGAAAGGAGCCACGGAGCCCTCCGCAGCCGACCGGCCTCCCCGCCCCTAACCACCCTCTTCCCGGCTGCCTTTGTGGCTGCAGCTTCTGGCTGCTGAGCGGAGAGCCGGCTGGGGCGCGGCGTGCACGGCGGAGCAATGCCCAGCTCGCTGTTTGCAGACCTGGAGCGCAACGGCAGCGGCGGCGGCGGAGGAGGAGGCGGCGGGGGAGGCGGCGGTGGCAGCGGCGGAGGAGAGACTCTGGATGACCAAAGAGCCCTGCAGCTTGCGCTCGATCAGCTCTCTCTGTTGGGGCTGGACAGTGACGAGGGCGCCTCACTGTACGACAGCGAGCCGCGCAAGAAGAGCGTGAACATGACCGAGTGCGTGCCAGTACCCAGTTCCGAACATGTCGCGGAGATCGTAGGGCGACAAGGTGGGTCCGGCAGGGATGGGAACCGGAGGGGTGTGTAGGATCTCGGGCCGCCGCCTCACTGTGAGGGCGGGTGCAAGATCGCGAGCTGTAGCGCGGGGGAGCCTTAAGGAGGGAGGAAGAGCCGCGCGATGGGGCCGGCGCACCAGACAAAGAAAGTGCAGGCAGGCTGTACTCCACAGCGGCGCCAGTGCCGTGGCAGGATGCACTTTCTCCTGCTAAAATCACTGCCTTCTCCTTTAACGCTTCAGACTTAGTCTACCCTAGGAAAGATAATTTTAATATAAGACACCGGGGGAGGGGGGAGTCTCTGGTGGTTCTTTGGGAAGGGGGAGGAAGAGGGAGCGTCCGATGGGAGGAGGATTCAGGATTTCTGCTAAGAGGAATGGAATGGAGTCCAGAGAAGGAACAATGGGTCCCAGGACTGCCATCCCCCTTAACCCCACCCCAACCACTCTAGCGCCTAGGAGTCGCAGCTTCCCGGGAACCCCTTGTGTCTTCAAGGCAATCAGTGCGCCCAGTTGGATCCCAGAAGCATCTTCCCAGATGACTTTTCTGGGGTTCTGGGGCTTAGCTTGGGACCACTGCAGTCACCGGGGCAAGGTAGCCAGTAGGCTGTTCCTCGAGCGTTTCGGTGGTGGAGCCCATGGTCCAGCTCCTAGAGAGGTTTGGGGTCAGCGAGGGAGACGCCCCCTTCCTCTTGTCGCGTGTTCTACTGTCCAGCTGCCTTGGGTGCGGGCTGTCCCGGGTCTCCGCGGTTACCCCGGGATAATGGGCGTGTCTGTCTCTCTCTTCTACTTTCTCCCTTGCACCCTGGCTCCCAGGTTGTAAAATCAAAGCTTTGAGGGCGAAGACCAACACTTACATCAAGACCCCAGTTCGCGGGGAGGAGCCTGTCTTTGTTGTGACGGGCAGGAAGGAGGATGTGGCCATGGCTCGGAGGGAGATCATCTCTGCCGCGGAGCACTTCTCCATGATCCGAGCCTCTCGTAACAAGAACACAGCCCTCAACGGCGCTGTTCCCGGGCCGCCCAACCTTCCGGGACAGACCACTATCCAAGTGAGGGTGCCATATCGCGTGGTGGGGCTCGTGGTAGGGCCGAAGGGCGCCACGATCAAGCGCATTCAACAGCAGACACACACATACATTGTGACACCCAGCCGGGACAAGGAGCCAGTGTTCGAGGTGACTGGGATGCCAGAAAACGTGGATCGCGCTAGAGAGGAGATCGAGGCTCACATTGCGCTGCGCACCGGTGGCATCATCGAGCTGACAGATGAGAACGACTTCCATGCCAATGGCACAGATGTAGGCTTTGATCTGCATCACGGGTCCGGCGGGTCCGGGCCTGGCAGCCTGTGGAGCAAACCCACCCCAAGCATCACTCCTACCCCTGGCCGCAAGCCCTTCTCCAGTTATCGCAACGACAGCTCCAGCTCACTTGGTAGCGCATCTACAGACTCCTACTTCGGTGGTGGGACCAGCGGCAGTGCAGCTGCCACTTCACGCCTGGCGGACTATAGCCCTCCCAGTCCTGCGCTCAGCTTTGCCCACAATGGAAACAACAATAATAACGGCAATGGTTACACGTACACCACCGGGGAAGCCTCAGTGCCTTCCCAGGATGGTGGTCCTGAGCTGCAGCCTACTTTCGATCCAGCTCCCGCCCCACCACCAGGGACACCCCTTCTCTGGGCTCAATTCGAGCGGTCCCCTGGAGGTGGATCTGCAGCCCCAGTATCCTCTTCCTGCTCTTCCTCGGCATCCTCATCTGCTTCATCATCCTCGGTGGTCTTTCCCGGGGGTGGCGCCAACAGCACACCCTCCAATGCCAACCTGGGGCTGCTGGTGCACCGTCGGCTGCACCCGGGCACCAGCTGCCCACGCCTGTCTCCACCCTTGCACATGGCTCCAGGGGCTGGAGAGCATCACCTGGCTCGGCGTGTGCGCAGCGACCCGGGCGGTGGAGGTCTGGCCTATGCGGCCTATGCTAATGGGCTAGGAGCGCAGCTCCCTGGTCTGCCTTCCTCGGACACTTCAGGCTCATCCTCCTCCTCCAGCTCCTCCTCCAGCTCTTCCTCCTCTTCCTCCGGGCTGAGGCGCAAGGGTAGCCGCGACTGCTCTGTGTGCTTTGAGAGTGAAGTGATCGCAGCGCTGGTGCCCTGTGGCCACAACCTCTTCTGCATGGAGTGTGCCAACCGCATTTGTGAGAAGAGTGAGCCCGAGTGTCCCGTCTGCCACACAGCGGTCACTCAGGCCATCCGCATCTTTTCCTGAAGGCAGTGCGCGCGCTTGCGTGCACTGTGCAGGGAAGGAGGGTCTTCTCCCTAGACCCTTATTCCTTAGGGCCTACTTGCCCAGATGCCTCTGGTGCCGCCTCTTTCCACCTCACCCTCCTCACAGAGATCCCAGAGGAGCTTGGAAAGCTGTAGTATCCGCTCATTTTTAAAATGTCATTTTAAAACAAAGGAACTTGCCAGGATCTCTGCATCAGGAGTACTGTAGCCTGGGAAGCCTCCGAACCACCTGAATTGCATGCTCTATAAATAATAGGAACGGCGACATTCTAGTAATGATAGTTTTTACACTGTACTATAGGAAGCTTCCAAAAGAAGAAAACCCCACAAGTTTTCAATTTTCTTGAAGTAGGAGAAAAATGAACAGTAATTATGAAGATGATTAATAATTGTGCTATGGGATGTGTGGACTGTTTCGTGTGTTTCCCTTTGTGGGTGGGTTCCTACAGCACTCGTTCTAGAACACAAGTGGATCCTTTTTGAATGTTCATGGAAGGGCCAGGCGTTCTGTACAACCAGGACCCTGCAGCTTTATTAAAGTTAAAACTGTAACATATCTCTTATATATTAAAAAAAAAAAAACCTTTAAAAGTTTTAAAGAGAAATTGCATTAATACAGATTGAAGTATTTTATTCTTTTTTTGACTTGAAAAATTATATTTCATATTGCAAAGATGTTTACAAGTATTTTAATTTAAGTTCAGTGAACTTTTTTGTAGCTGGGTTAAATCTTTTTATTTTTAGTATGGCCTTATGGCAAAGAACACTGTATTATTTTAATAATCACACAATTGTGACGGATTACAAACCATAAAATGTATAACGTTTTGAGCAGTATTCTGTTGGGATGGAGATTTTATAGGTTCAGACAAAATCTTCTAGATCTGCTTCACCCAGCATATTTTCTATTCAGTGATATAAAGCATATTTTATTCTATATTATTACAAAAAACGGAAATGTATAAACATGTCAAAATGAACAGTTGATGCTTTCTAACATTTGTATAAATAGAATTCAGTGCAAATTACAGAAATTCTGTTGCACCGCTATAGTTTTAGTGTTTCTATTTTAATACATTTGTTTACCACTTGTTTATGTATATGTAGGTGATGTTACTTGAGCTTAAATGTACTTTACTGAGCAAAGTTTAAAAAACAAAGTATATTTTATTTTATGATAAAGGGCCTTTAACCTCATGGTCAAATACTAATATTATATTTGCTGAGACAAGATTTGAAATTGTATCAAGAGTTTTATTTTTCTGACATTTAAAGTTCTACATAATAAAGGTAAACTTAAGTAATGGTGCTACTTCATTTTTTAAGTATTTCTATATAAATAAAACATTGACGAAAAATCAGTGTTGTATGTTGACTTGATTTTTTTTTTCTATTTTTTTTTTTTAAGCCTTGGGGTATAATGTTGAAGAGAAGCATATCTAAGTGATAGGTTGAAATGCACAGCTTCCAAATATATCATGTAGTTTGTCAATAGAGCATATCCCAGAGAGTGATAGGATTTGGTGGGGTGGATGGATGGTCACAGGTAACGGTTTTGCTTGTTTGTTTGTTTTGGTTTTTAATTGCAAATAAGACCAATTTCTCCATTAGACATAGCTGACAATACTTAGGGACCATGATATTTGGGGTGGGGGGCATCCCCAGAACATGGTTAATTTATTTTTAAGTTAGGAGACAAAGGGGAAATGGAAATATTAAAAAAAAAAAAACATTTACACTTTTAACCCACACAAACCTATTACATTTACCCAAAAGTACTAAGAAAAAAATTAAAAAAAAAAAAACACAAAACTGACAATTTGACTATGGATATCATAGACAAAGGGCTTGGGGCTCAGGGAAGTGATAGCACTGCTCTCCTGGCACCAGGCTTGGGGGTGGGTTGGGGTGTTCGGGGACCAGTACCTGCTGGCTGGCTGTCTTGGAGCAGTCCCACTGAGGATCTTCTCTTTGGGAAGGAAGGGCTGGAAGCCCTGTTGCTAAGGGCCTAGCAGGATTTGAGCTTGGGTCTTAGCGGGGCTTCTTTGGGGTCAGGCTAATTGGTGTTGACAGGCAGCAAGTGTTAACTGTTTGTTGTTGCCTGAGGGAAGTTTCTGTTTGCTTTTGACAGCAGCCCCACCTCTCCCCTTGCCTTGGGGCTCTGCCGGGGGAGGGGCAGCTACTTTTATTTGACCTGAACTTTCCTAGAGAATATGCAGGAATGACCAGACCCTCCCATGGAATTTCCAGCCAACTTCCCCAGTGAGCTGCCTCTGAAAAACAATCTGGAACAGGAGAGTGGTGGGCATATAGTCTAATCTTAGAGGTGGTTTTGAAGAGAAAGCTGTAATCTACTGGGGCCTCTTTGTGTTGACATTTTGTTGTTAGGAATTGGAGCCACTGCTGCCACAGTTCCTGATCTATTAGGTCAAAATGATGAGATGGACATGCCTTCCAGTGAACAGAGAGAAAGGAGTGGCCCTGCTTAGAGAATTTCTGGCTTTGTCTTCAACTCTGGAAAGTTCCAGGCCCTGTTTATCATCTCTTGCTTCTCCCTTAGGACGGGACTTAACCTAGACCTGGCAGGGAGAGATGTTGTCAGGTCTAGGGGCCTTTTATTTAGCTGTCTGGAAATGCCTAGAACAGAAGAGAAATTGTTTATGCAATTATATTCTTTAGTATTGTAATTTTGGCTTTCTGCTTTTACACAATGAGTTCAGATGATACAAGGGGGAAAAAAAGAAAAAGTCTTGAGTGCTTTCCACCCCCAGTTATACTGTTTATTTACTTAGGTCCCTTTTATTGATGTTATAAACTTTATGGTTAAATAAATAAATAAATAAAAGTGTCACTCACCAAAAATAACTGGACGTAAAGTCTATACAAGTCAAGGGACTTCTAGTTAGAATAGGCATTAAGGACAGAAATAAAGAACAAGCTGAATTTGAGGCTATCTACTTGGGTGGCGTGCATGTCTTCTTTGTGTTTCTGGTGTGTGTATATGTGTATGTTTGTGTATGAGTGTGTGTGTATGTATGAGTGTGTGTGTGTGTGTGCACATATAGAGCCTAGGTATCTTCCTCAAACCCTCTCTACCTTATTTTTTTCTGATTCAGTATATCACTGAATCTGGCCTCTCAAGCCCCAGAAATTTCAGTCTCTGCCTCTCCAGCACTGGGATTATGTTAACACCTTGCCTGACATTTCATGTGGATGCCGGTATCCAAATTTAGGTCCTCTCTTGTACAGCGGACACTTTGCTGACGGAGCCCTCTTCCTGGTCCCTGCATGCACCTGTTTACAGTGAGAAAAGGGCTACTTGGTTGATAGGACTTTGGAAGATATATTTTAGTGCAGTGTGGCTTCTCATGGCTCTCTCTGATGTGGGCTTTTCCTGTCACTAGCAGGGAATACAGACATTCTAGTGATCTTGCAGGACACTGGCTTGTGGTACAAATTAAGCCTTTTGCTCCATCCTCCAGGTGACTGTTGTGGACCACTAACTACAGGGTGACAGCCTTCCAACTGGAAACAGGGTGTCACATTTATATCCTCCAAGCATCACCAGCTTCCCTTTCCACATCCACCCTCTGAAATCTATAATTCCACAGCAACAAAGCACCGTCTGTGTAGCAAACATCTCTCCCTCTAATGACCAGTGCTTGCTTTTTTTTTTTTTATGTAGTATACCAATTCTCAACAGTACTGGTTTTGCAACACCACACACACACACACACACACACACACACACACACACACACACCAATTTGGCATTTTCAGCTCATTTTTGGTTATGATATAATGGATAGTTGTACTTGTATCTTAGTAAATGGGAACTGGAGATACTGCTAACAGCCTAGTGTTTAGGATAGCACCATGACAAAGAAGTCCTCAGCATCAGGTCTTCTCTATTGCCCCAAGGCATAGGGGCCTCCAGACTGAACTGTGTAGGTATTTTGGAATCATCTACTGCCCTAGACAGTTGGAGTTATATCTGAATTCCTGGGTGGAACATATCAAAACAGATAGCCTATCCCAGGTCACAGTCAAGGGGTTCATTTTACTCATCAAAGAAAGAATTGTAGATGGTACCCAGTTAGTAGCAGTGTTTCAAACTGTTGGCTCAAAAATATTTTGTATTTTTGAGAATTTCATACATGAGTATATATTTACATTTACAACCTTCCCTTTCCCCCTCAAACTCTTCTGTATTTCTCCTTCTCAAATTTATAGCCTCTTATTATTGTTACATATGTACACACACACACACACACACACACACACACACACACACACTCAGTCCCTTTGCTCATATATGTTTAGGGCTAACCACCTGGGATTGGATAGCCTATCAGGGCTCTCTCTCTTTCTCTCTCTCTCTCTCTCTCTCTCTCTCTCTCTCTCTCTCTCTCTCTCTCTCTCTCTCTCTCTGTGTGTGTGTGTGTGTGATGTGTGTGGGTGCCTGAGGAGGCCAGAAGAGGGCATCAGATCCCCTGGAGCTAGAGTTACAAGGCCGTTGTAAACTGCCCAGTGTTGGGGTGCTGGGAATTGAACTCTGATTTTCTGGAAGAACATCAGGCTCTCTTAATCACTGTGGCATCTCTCTAGCCTCTAAAATACTTATTTTTAATATAATTAATTTTATTGATCTGTGGTGGTGAATGCCTTTAATCCCAGACCTTGGGAGACAGAGACAGATGGTTCTCTATGAGTTTGAGGCTAGCCCGATCTACAGAAAGTTCCAGGACAGCTACAGCTACATAATAGAGGGACCCTTTCTCAAAACAACAAAAAATATTTGTGTGTGTGTGTGTGTGTGTGTGTGAGCTCACTGGCCATGGTCTGTGTGGTGGCCAGATGGCAACTTTATGACATTGGAAGGACCAGACTCAGGTCATTAGGCTATTGTGGCAAATACCTTTCCCACTGAGTCATTTCCCCAGCCCCCAACACACTTTCACTCACCTCTGATCTGTGGTCATCTAGGGCAGGTGGTATTAGGATTTCTTCAGTGTGTCCTTTCTCAGTAAGATACAAGTAGTCTACTCACAGTGTCCTAAGCAGACTCAACCTGAGTTTTCTACTGTAGGCGAAGCTGTGTAGTCATGTTCCCTATGGCTGGTGACAAAATAAATAAAAAATGTCAAACTCCTGGGTGTACCTTGAAGTCTTTTCCTTTTCTGTATTTCTTGAGTTCCCCTTACTCCACCAATGTTTGTTCTTGGGAAAACTACTGATACCTATAGTGATCTTTAGTCATCAATTGATGCAGAAATTTTATCACGGAGGTCTCATTTTTTTCAAGAAATAGGGACAAATTTACTCTTGCTAAGGAGCTTCAGGTTTGCTAGCCAGTCGGGCTAGAGTAGTTACCTTGAAAACTCCATGGGTTTAAGGTAATTTAGGAAAAGATGGAAAGTATGCTGGTTACAGTCACGCCCACCCCCACCTTGAGAAAGAGTCTCACTGTGTAGCTCAGGATGGTCTCAGACTCACTGTCCTGTCTTATTCTCCCAAGTTCTGGGAATACAAGCCCAGGTTATCATGCCTGGTATATCTCTTTTTTCCTTAAGGGATGACAAGATGACACACATGAGGACTTTAATTCAAACCCCAGAACTCACATAAAAATGTCAGGACACTTGGAATCCCATGACTGGAGGCCTGAAGACAGATAGTTCCTTGGGGTTCACTGGCCAGCCAGTTTGGACAACTCTCTCTGTTCCAGGACAGTGTGAGACTTGCCTCAGAGGAGGTGAATAGTGTTCCTAAGGATGACACTTGAGATTGTCATCAGGCCTCTATATATTTGGGCACACATGTGCTTGTGTGGACATGTGTGGGCATGTGTATGCATGTACACAGTAAACAAAGGAGGGTCTTTGTTAATTCTGCCCTTGTTTTACCCTCCTCTTTTCTGACCTTGCCTACCAGTTTTTTACATGTTGGACACTTCTACTTCCCTAGGAAGGCAAAACATACTTTCTAAAAATTGGATGCTCTAGGAAGTTAAGCATCCCTTTCATTGGCCAATAGATGTTGATGGTTTCTGCCATTTATTAAGCTCCTCCCTCTGACTCAGGCTCTGTAGGTAGGGATGAACTTACTAAATTTGGGTAAGGAAGCTAATGTAGAGAAGTCAGTTGTTTGGCTTATCTAAGGCTGCACAGACAACATCAGAACTAGGACACCACCCATGGGTCCCTCTAAATCCAAAGCTCCCTTCTTTAGCAACTTAAAAAAACAAAACAAAACAAAAAAAAAAACTAGCTTTAATAAATGGCATTCTCAGAAAAAGTGAGTGCTCATTTGCAACAAAGCAGTCAGGTAATGCTCCCATCTAACTGATAATGCTAATTGA